CCCTTTTTTGGTCTTTTTTGAGACAGAGTCTCCCTGTAGCCCCAGCTGGCCTGGAACTCACTATGTATACACACCAGGCTGGCCTTGGGTTTTTTTTAAACTTCTCCCATGCTGAGATTAAAGGTGTGCACCACTACTCTCGGCATTAAATGAAATATTTCTAATAGCTTCAACTTGGCCTCAAGGACTTGGAGCTTAGAAGCAGAATAATGTAAAATGAAAAACCCAGCAGCACACAGCACATAGGGGCAAAGGGTCCAAGGTGTTACTTCTCATACTCAGGGACGTTCACCCTGCTAAAAGTTATTTGTGTACCTTGTGCTCTTGATACAGGTCTCCTGACTTTTATGAAGAAGTGAAAATTCAGCTCCCTGCTAAGCTCACAGTAAATCACCACCTCCTGTTCACCTTCTATCACGTCAGCTGTCAGCAGAAGCAGGGAGCCTCTGGAGAAAGTCTTCTGGGATATTCAGTGAGTTGTTTTCAACTTGCCAGTTGGCACTGCAGTCCCTGGTGAAGCCCTGCAGAGATGGCAACTGCATCCTCTTCTCTTGTCTTCTCTCAGAAGTTGCCAAATTGCCATCCAAGGGACAGCAGAGAGCAGAAATGACTAGAAAACAGCACATTCTACAAATGGAAAGAAAGCTGGTGGCTGGTGAATCTTTAAAGGATGCTCATTAATTTAAGAAAAGGGCATTGCAATATCTGTTATTTCCAAATTTAATATATGTGCTTCACGGATAGAATTCTCTCTTTTCCTCAAGGGGGAAAAGTTATTCCTTTAAAAAAATTTTAAGGATAAAATAAATATTGGAGTATACACACACACACACACACACACATACACACACAGGCTATAAAGAAAAATGCTACTACTTGGGCTCTGGAAGCAGATATCATTGATACTCCCATTTCAAGAACTCTCAGGAAATTTATAGTGCAAAGAACTGGACAGAAACTACTTCCAGAAGGCGACCTGGTCAATATCTAATTGATGTTTAGCTGCATTTGATTGCCATGAGCTAGATAAATTGCCAGAGTCCTGTGCTGCGATAAAAACTGCTTTGCTCTCGACATCATCTGTTTCAGTGGCTGCCGATTCTCCTAAATGAACGTCTTCAAACTGGATCCTACTGTCTCCCAGTTGCCTTGGAAAAACTGCCATCCAACTACTTCATGCATTCTGCTGAGGTAATCAGCAGCTGGCCAGCAGCTGCTTCCTGTCCACTTGTGGTCTTGGATCACCTTCCCACACCCACTTCCCTTTCCCTTAGGCACACCTGAGGGTGCTCACTGTGTCCTCTAGAGCAGTCATCCTCAGTACCTTGAGTTTTCTGAGAGCGCGTTGTTCTGACAGGATGGGAGGAATACCTGGCTGGGAAAGAACCCTTACTCATTTAGATGTCACATCAGAATGTTCGGTAGATGCAAAGTGTCCCATGTGCCGAGGCACTGCTACTTCACTTTATCTGTAGCATCAGAGCTCACTGAGTCATGTTTTATAGATGAGAGGCAGCTTGAGCCCACTTATGATAGACACCGCTCCTAGCAAGTATCCTTATGAAGCGTTTCCAGATCTGAGTCCAGCTGCTTCTCCCCTGCACCAGTGGTCACAGCCCAGGTGGATGGGCTGTAAAGGGGCCAGTGTCAAAGCCTCTGCTCTGCCAGTATCCTGCCCTTCCTCTTGCCTTTGCAGTCTGCTGCAGAATCCTCATTTAGAGACAGTCCCGAGACTCGCCTGGCCACACAAGCTTCCACTCTCATGCTTCTTGATCCCTTTAGCCGAGGTTTACATCAATGAGTATTATTTTGAAGCAAATCCCTGACATTATGTCAATCCGTTCATGAACATTGTAGCATGTATCTTGAATACAGGGCTCTTTGTAAGCCAACACAAAAATACCTTAAGCCAGGCATGGTGGCTCATGCCTTTAATCCATGCACTTGGGAGGCAGAGGCGGGCAGATGTCTGTGAGTTCAGGGCCAGCCTGGTCTACATAGTGAGTAGGACAGCTGGGGCTACAGAGAGACCTTGTCTCAAAAATAAAACAACAAAAACACAAAAATAAACCCAAAAGACCTTAAAACTGACTTAATCCAGATGGGAGAGATGGCTCAGCAGTTAAGAGCACTGACTGTTCTTTCAGAAGACCCGGCTTTGAATCCCAGAACCCACATGGCAGCTAGCTAACAACTATCTGTAACTCTGGTTCCAGGGCATTGGACGCCCTCTTCTGTTCTCTGGGCAGTGCATGACAAGGGCACATTTATAGATGTATAGGCATAGCACTTAAACACACAAAATTAAATAAATTAATTTTAGAAACTGAATTAATCCTTAATATCATCCAGTACCCTATCAGTGTCCACCTTTCCGACTCCTCATTGGGATCATTTTACAGTTCTCTGATTGGGGACCAAGTGAGGACTGTGTGGTATTGCTTTGTATGTCTTTAGTCTGAAGTTCCTCCTTTAATTCTTGTTTTCTTTTCAGTTTTTAAGTTGAAGACACTCACAGAACATTGAATTTAGAGAGAACCTTTACAGTAATCTTTCTTCCCGGTTCTTTCACTGTGCCCGCCAGCCCCCCAGACTAACTTGTCCTCTGCCTTAGACTGAAGCTGCTCTCCTTGACACCAGGGCCAGCCCACGTGCAGACATTGTGATTCATCTTTATGGCCTAGGCATACAGTGACTTGCAGAAACCTCCACAACTACTTTTCCAGAGCCAGCGTAGGGATGTTTGCCTATAATCTCAGCTCTCAGGAGGTTGAGGCAGGAGAATTACCAAAAGTCTGAGGCCCACTTGGGCTGCCTAGTGACACAATGACTCAAAATCAAACACAAGGGCTGGAGAGATGGCTCAGCAGTCAAGAGTACTGTCTGCTCTTAAGAAAGATCTGGGTTCCATTCCCAGCACTCACATGGCAGCCCACAACAGTAACTCCAATTCTAAGGGATATGACACCTTCTTCTGGCCTCTGCAGGCATTGCATACATGTGGTACACTTACATACATGCAGGCAAAACACATACACATAAAAATAATTAATAGGGGCTGAAGAGATGGCTCAGCAGTTAAGAACACTGGTTGTTCTTGCAGAAGACCCAGCTTCAAATCCCAGAACCCACATGGCAGCTAACAGCTGGCCGTAACTCCAGTCCCAGGGGATCCAACAGTATCTTCTGTCCTCCACAGGCATTGCATGGTACAGGTGCACTTACCTACATGCAGGCAATATGCACATACACATAAAGTAAAAATAATAAATAAAATATGAAAAAAATTTTAATCATTAATAAATATACAAATAAAGCGAAAACTCTGCTTTCCCTTTTCAAGCTACATAGTCTAATTTCATAGAACTCCCCCTTTTTTCCTAAAGCATAGAATAAAAACTGAGGTTTCGTTGTTGTTTTTTTTGCTTGTTATTTGCTTTTTTGTTTTATTTGCTTTTATTTCTAATATTTTCAAACACAGAGTTCATATAGCCCAGGCTGGCCTCAAATGTATTAAATAGCCAAGAATGGCCTTGAATTCCTGATCCTCCTACCTGGGCCTCCCTGTAGACCTGCACCACCCATAGTCATGTAAACCTGAGTTTTTGAGACAGACAAACCAGATCCAAAGTCTGGATCTGCCATTCTCTGGCTATGTGAGTGTGTGTGAATTGTTTACCTCCTCTGACTCTCAAAGATGAAATGAAATCCATATCTGCCTATAAGGCTGCTGTGGACATTAAATAAGATCACGCCTATCAAGCAGGAAATAATACTGAAGTTTCTTTTGCCTGCTTGGTCTAAGCTATCTTCACAGAGCCACCTTCAACCCTATCAGTATCCTTCATACCTGCTCTGTCCAATACAGTAGCTACAAGTGGCTTATGAGGTCTTGTGATGGGACTGGTCCTAACCCAATGCTATCAGCATAAACTATGCACTAGATTTCAAAGATTTGGTATTGAGAAACTACATATAAGCTGGGTATGGTAGCACACATCTTTAATCCCAGGACTCGGGAAGCAGAGCTCTGTGAGATCAAGGCCAGCGTGCTCCACATATCCAGTTCCAGCCCAGCTGGGGCTACATAGTGAGACCAAACCAGGAATGGTGGCATAAGCCTATAACCCCAGCAAAAAGGAGGGGGATGCAGAAGATTGCAAGTTTGAGGCTAGCCTGGGCTACCTAGTGAGTTCCAGGCCAGTCTGGGCTACACAGCAACACCCTGC